TGACGATTCGGGAAAACATTTTGTTTGGCAAGCCGTACGACCGCGTCAAGTACGCCAACGTGTTGGAAGCGTGTGCGCTGACGAAGGACCTGGCGCTGTTTGCGGCCGGCGACCGGACCGAGATCGGCCAGAAGGGGGTCAACTTGTCTGGCGGGCAAAAGGCGCGCATCAGTCTGGCGCGGGCGTGCTACAGCGACGCCGACATTTTCATCTTGGACTCGCCGCTGTCGGCCGTCGACGCGATCGTGCAAAACGAGATCTTCACCAAGTGCTTTCTCGGTCTGCTGCGCCACAAGACAATCGTCCTCGTCACGCACTCTCCCGAGATCATCGCGTCCAAGTTTATCGACCGCACGATTGAAATCAAGGACGGCCAGTTGCTCGGACGTATGGTCAACCGACGGGCTCCTGCGGCGCTGCCTCGGGGAATGATTCCGCTGGCCATGCATCGTCTTTATGGGAAAGGAGATGTCGCCGACACGAAGTTGCCTAGTTCGGACGTTCCAACCTACAACGCGATGGCGTCGACGAGCTACTTGGAGCCACCGCGGTCGCCATTCCCCGTCGGGTTCGAGTCGCTTGCGAGCCCCATCTTTGACGAATACCATGTTCAGCACTTCGACGAGTATAGTCCTCGCACTGGCCGGCTACTCCATGACGAGGAGCGCCAGCATGGCCGCGTGGCGACCCAGGTCTTCTGCGACTACCTCCACGCAGTGGGGGGATGGCCAGTGTTGATGTCCTGGGTCGGCCTCCTCACGGTGTGGCAATGCCTCATGGTAGCGGGCGACTTTTGGTTGAGCTCGTGGAGCGCATCTGCAGCCACGATGTCGGGTCCCGAGTTTTTGCACACGGCAGCATACTACCTTGCCGTGTACTCGGCACTGTCTCTCGGGAGCGTCGTCATGACCATCTTTCGGACGCTCTCCATTTACACTGCTGGCGTCCGTGCCTCCCAGCGCTTGTTTGACGCCATGACCCGTGCTCTCCTGCGCGCGCCCATGCGCATCTTTGACACTACTCCCATCGGTCGCATCCTGAATCGATATAGCAACGACATCAACACGATTGACACGACCATTCCGTTTGGCATTAGCGGGCTCATTTCCGCCATTTTCACGTCGCTCTTTGTGCTCGGGACGACGTTTTACGTGGTGGGTACGATGACGGTCCTCGTCCTGCCGCTCTTGGCGATGTAC